GATCTGTACTTTTTGTCTTTTTTGTTGCCAGGGATGTACAAATACCCTACCACATCTGGTCTGTGTTTTTGTTAAATGTTTTTTTCTGCTGTACTGTTGTCTATATATCTTCTTACATCCACTCCATTTGAACTTTGGTGTTTAGTTGTCTCATTAGCAATCACACCACATCTCCTTATTTTTATATCGATAAAAACTGTGTAACAATATAATCCCTAGGATTTAAAACGAACATATCTGATGTTCCCACCTCTCACTTTGGATAGTTCGGGAAAATCAATGAAAAATATTTTAAAGTATTTCTTAAAAGACCATGTACAGATGATCATCTAAAACAATCCCGATGAATTTATGATTTTCTTACAAATTAAGGTATTTACTCTTACCGCCCTGAAGCTTGAATACTACCTTTAATGAAAAATAAAAACTTCAAAGAATAAGGAAACTGCTGCAGTGCCAGATCTAGACTAGCCTGGGGTCCTGGCTCACTGATTGCTAACGCTGACAGTATATCGACGAAGTATAAAGATTGGGTCAGGATGCCAGGCTAGATCTAGACCAACACGATTCTTTTAAAAGAAATCACCGATAATAACTGCTAGAGCTAACATGGGTGTCTCAATAAACTAAAAATTTTGACAGAAAATCAATAACATCTTAAAAATCATAAAAAGAGATGTACTGTGAAAATTGTCTCCTTTGAGAGGCATTGCGATCAATTCAATTATTTTAAGGAAGTTTTAGGTCGATAGTAACTGTTGTCACGAAATCATATAAGTTGGCTATGCTGTAACTTAGTAAGTGGCATGTAGCTATGGCAGTGACTAAACTACCTTTTTTAAAGCATTTAGTATGTACTGTTCTATTTCCATGTATTCTATGGAGAGGAGAAAGTCTTTATACTTAGCGTAGCAGAAACAAATTTGACACTGTTTCGAAGATTTGTAAATTTCGGCAGACAGTTTTAACGGTGCTCAATATGAAATATGCGAAATCTGTCGAAATGCGTTAGCTGTTCAAAGTATTGCACATACTGGGAGGGTCTGAACGAGGTTGTCTTCATTTCTGTGTTCTTTAATTTCTATGTCATTTTTCTATTCTTTGTGTTTCGCCTTGTTTCTCTATTATGTAAACCCCATCTAGACTCTTTATTTTAGAATACACATTTTTGAGTTTTACGATTTTTCATGAATAATTCAAAAGTGTATTATACCTAATAATTATGTATACTGGCTCATAACATCTAAAACGTCTACAAATAAAACCAGGATTATTTTCATTAAAATTCATCATTGTATGAAACTGAAAACCATATTATTTGAGACTTAATGCCGTCGTTGAATTTCTATACCATAGCGTTCAGCTATTTTTAACTGCGGATCATTTAAGCATAGTTTCATTTGAAATTAAACTTTAATCGAAGAAATCCTCCTCGTAGATGAAAATAAAATCAAATTACTTTACTTAGAAATCGTGGTTTCTGATTTGCTAAGATCCATTAAACATAAATAAAATTTGATTTCAGTAAGAGCAATTTCTATATAGAAAGCAATTATTACAATTAGTCATAACGTCAGTTTTCATTTAGAGTCATCAGCTAATCGCTGCATCTGTGTATTGCAATAAACGCACGATAGATATTGATTAGTTTCAGCTTGTGGTAAGATAAGTTATTATGGCACTGTACTAGAAAACGTATTAATAATACGCCTAGATCATTGTTTAAGCGCTGGTGTCTACAAGGCTTTCAATGCAGCTTCACTTTTAAGAAAGTTATGCTGTATCGACAATCAAGAACCTATAGGTTTTAATCAAAGCTTTTGCAATAGTTAGCTTATAGAAAACCGTACTAATTGAACTTCGAACTATCTTTCAATAACTTCGAGTACTGTTATAGATCAGTTGATCTTGTCTCTTGCTATTTCTGTAGATGCAGTCTTTATAATTCCGATACCACGAATCTCTTTTGATTAATTCGTAGCTTCTTACAGCGTATTAAAGTGAAGTTTTTATTACATTGCTCATAAAAATTTTCATCTCCGACACACAAAATTGTATGCTCTTTTGTAATTTTATGTATAGCAATGCATATATGTATGTAGATATATATGATAAGTGCATGTGTACTTACTGACCAACTATTTGCCTTTGTTCGTGACATTTGAGTACATAAATATATAAAATTGTTACTTTGATAGTGTATTTTATAAGCCAGCTTAATATAGATATTTATATTAGAAAAGAGGACGGGATTGTAGTTAAGACAATCGGAACATATCTGCCCTCAACTGTGAAACAGATATTCCGTAACGGTCAACAACCTCGTGATGGTTCATCATATAAAGCCTTTGAATAATTCAGTGAGAGGACATCATCTATATAGCGGAACGTGAAGTTAAAGGATAATGCTAGCTTCTTTTCATTTTTCTTAGAAGCTCCTGTATGAAGTCTACCTCATATGAATAAAGAAACAAGTTGACAAGAAGAGGAGCACAGTTGTTTTCCATGGGAATGCCGATTGTTGGTTGAAAAATACGTCCTCCGAACGTAACAAATTTGTTGTCAATTAAGAAGTCAAGCATCTTGATAATGTCAGAGAATTTTTTGTTTGAATCAGTGTGGTTTTTTTTTTTACAACATACAATGCATCCCTCCCTTGAACAAGATACTTGCACATGTATCTAGTACGTTGGTTGGTCATTCTTTTTTATGAAACTAAACAGGACCAATAATTTCAGTTTCCTATTAGTTTGGAATTGGGAATACTTGTGTAGAGGTAGAAAAGTCAAATGTTTAAATACTCTTGCAAGAGTATAAAGACCTAGAATACTATATATATAGTTTGTATATTGCACTAATCATGGCTTTAGATTATCTATCGCGTGGTTGCTGTCTCATCGACGTATATCACAGCTCTCCATTTATTCATACCCTATATATAACATGTATAAAATTTGGATAATTAAGCACTGCTGTCGAGTGTTGCTCTTTTTAAAAGGATGATACATTTGTATAATTTAATAGATGTACAGCAATTTATGAAATTTACAAAAAAATGTAGTATTTCAAACCTTAAATCATTGGAAATCTATATTTGAATGAGAGGACAGGTAATCCACTTCTCGTGAAACGTTGTTCGTTATTCATTTTTAATGCCGGTCGTTCGTTATTACAACGTGTAGTTTCTTCTCAGACATTTGACTCATATAACTAATATACATGCACGTAAAGACTTCTTTATTTTTTTAGATGATAGCTGGAACCAAAAAAGAAGTGTGCTTTTAAAAATTTTTTGTAAATGATTTTACAAACTCCGAAACAGGGGCGAAGTCGCTACGTTTCCCGAAGTGCTGCATTAAATGATTGCATCGCGCGTAATAGAGACAACGTTTCAGCTGTTTTTCAATTGTAGACGAATAAGGTTCAATAATAACATAACAAATATTTTTTTCAAAATTAAATGAAAGAAAAAAAATTTGCCTGCATTGAAAAAAAACAAAACCAAAAAAAACCAAAAAAATAACACAATTTTGGCTTTGTATTGAATGAAATCATACAAAAGACCAATTGACAGATTGTGAAACAAAAGTTTCTTATGGACAAATTCCAAATTATTTTACTTAGTATTTTTCGGTTCAGCCTGTATTTTGTTTACGTAGAGGGGTTTATTTCATGTCAAATGAAAATGGTAAAATCATTTTTTGATATGATATAGAGACACATTAGTTATCAATGTTTCACATCTAGAAATTCACAGCATAGAGATGTATGAAAATTTTCGAAAAATACTGTAATTTTACATTTTTTTACAATAAGACAACCTGGTCGGAGAAGAAAGCGCAATTGAGAAGTATTTCACAATTTTTTTTTGTAGATTTTCCTTATTTAGCTATTGAAACAATAAATTCCTGACAAAACCAGCTATTTGCTTGTTCTAACAGTAAATGAACACGATCATCACGTAGATTCGTTTAGTGAAGGCTTTATTTATGCAGTAATTTAATATAGAGCTGGGAATACTGAGTTTAAAAATAACACTCATATTTGATAATTAAATCACCACGTGTAATGTATGTTTCTATAAACATTCCGCATCAGAATGTAAGAATGACAAAGCAGTGCAGTACTATATTGACAATAAAGAAGTTCCATCGAACCCGCTTTTATATTGTCCGGAGCGCTGGTCAGGGGGTTATTGGATCGATTCCAGGCTGGGTCAAACCAAAGACGTGTAAATTGCAATTTTCTGCTTCTATACACTGATCACGCCGCATTTCGGAGTAAGAGAAAAGACATATTGGTTCGGAGTGATCAGAATAATGTGAACCTTGTGAACTAGCACGATAAAATCCGGATCTGTTTGTCCGTCTTGTACCAAGCAGGGTTAATATTCATCTAATATATGTATCTAATATTTGGCACTGGACGTTAATTACTTACACATTCACCTTCTATATTGCCCAGAATCGTTTGATATACTGTCTATTTATTTTGGATACCTGTCAGACAAAACATTAACTTGCAAATAGAAATTTTTGAAATCTCGCACGTGTGAATAAGTGAGCACATGCATGTACAAAGCAAGGCTACGTGTACTCATGTTTAGGATTAAGAAATTTCAATGGTATTCTTTATATTTGTATAATGAGAAAATACTTGCCCTGAGTTATCATTCGCCGTTTCAAAATCTAATGCATTCTGGGTAATATTTTCAAAAAAGATTACACCCCAATGATGTGATTGGCTACCAAGGAACTAAACAATGCGAATTTTAACCAATGACATGACGTTATTTCATTTAGATTACGAACACTGAAAACACTACCCATAGCTCTTTAGATTCTGAAACGGCGAATAAGATGAATGTTATGTTGATTTATTGAATGTGATTTGCATCGTCAACTTGTTTGATTATTTTATATGCATTTATAGCACTTTTTCTTATCCGACACAATTTATTAATTTAAAAAAATCTTTACGTTTTTTTTTTATCTTTGCAGAATAAAAAACTGTTCTACAATGGTCTGATAGGCAGCTGGTGTGACATGATCTGAATAAATATTTCAAATAACCTAATTAAAGGATGAAAAATGTATAATGTCGGAATGATTTAGATACAAGGTAATAGAACCAACAGTTGATTTTTATGAACAACACACGTATTTGATCATCTGCGGTTTTTAACATGAAATATGTATGATTGGACAGAAAATCAATGGCGCCGGAAATGTTATCGTTAAAACAGCATAGGAATTTACTTAGGATTACACAAGACACTAGTTTAAGTCATGACGAATTTGAAAGATTGAAAGATGATAGGATTTAATCATTTCAGCAGAAGACACGCGCTGAATCTTAAGTACCGTCTATTCCCTTGTGGACTCGGGAATTCCGTCTACTTCGATATGAAAGACTGAATAAAAAACGTATAAATTGATCTGCTGGATTGAAATATGGAAACTATAAAGAAAGGATATTTCAAAATGTAAAAAAAAAATTAAGAGTTGTAATCAATTTTTCTTTAACTTTCAATCTATTAGTTTGAAAAGAGAAACCATTATAAAGCGGAAAATACCGTTCTGTGTACTTAATTGCGATCACATCGAGCCAAGTTGGATATAATCAATGTTTTAAGTAGTCGAGAAGCTCTTATCGTCAAAAATGTAATTAATATACACAGAGTACAATATTTAATGAAAACAGATATTGTTTGTTTTAAATACTAAGCAAGATGTACGAACAAAGAATAATAAAACAGAACGACTTATTTACAGAAACTTTGATCTTGTTTGTAGTTTTACAAATTATTGATTAGCGTTATAAGCACTTAATTTTGCACGAGGAAGAATACACGCGCTAACTTGTGCCAGACAAGTAAGTTATAACACAAAATTAGTTCCACATGCCAACGTACTTTATGTGCCGTAATAGACAATAATTATCAATAAAGGTGACAGATAAATCCTAGTGCTTTAATCTTCGATTGACCAGCATGGATGATATTCATAAAACGTCGAACGAAAAGGTACATGTTCTAAGCGTATCGTCTGCGCCTAGTCATCACGTGCATCATGCGGTTATGGCCCACGTGGGAGGTATTGAATACGACAAGACTAGGAGACGAAGTACGATCCATTCGTACACTCTATCTAACTACCACGCTCTTTCGCATGATCCGCAAACCATGAGAGCCGTTCACGAAATGACTCGGGCGAAAGCTTACAAAAATGTAATAGCACTTGGATTGGCATTCATGTTTGTTTTTACAGCATTTGTTTCAATTCAGGGATTACAAAGTACGATGAACTGGGAAGGAGGTGTAGGAGTTACTTCCCTTAGCAGCATATATGTTACTACTATCATATCGTGTTTATTAGCGCCATGGATAATCCAGAAACTTACGACCAAATGGACAATGATTATTGCCTTTGTGCTTTGTACGGGTTATTTTGCGGGAAACTTCCATCCGGAGCACTATATGCTTGTACCTTTGGGTGCATTACTCGGACTTTTAGGAGGTCCGTTATGGAGTGCGCAAGCAACATCTATCACTTCGATATCTTTAGCTTATTCTGAACATATTCATGCCGAGGAACAAGAAATTGTAGTGAATAAAATGATGGGAATATTTTGTGGCTTATTTAGAACAAGTAATATATGGGGAAACTTAATAACAACGTTAGTTTTAGGAAAAAACGAGACCCTTCACGTACCCAAGTATCATAACTTTTCAACAAACTCTACGTGCGGTGCTGGATACTGTCTCACAGTAGAGGATGAACTAAATCATGGAATCTACTTTTCACAGAACGCTATGAGAACCATCAGTTCGAAAACGAAAATAATGTTATTAAGTATATACCTCGGATGTGGCATGATGGGGATCGTAATTCTCATATCTTTATTTGATCAACATAAAAGTTCCAAGTTGAAGTGTAGAGATGATGTCTTGTCATCAAAAGAAACGTTCCTTGCAACAATAAAGATGTTCAAAGACACAAAATGTTTGCTCTTATTGGTGATTGTCGTATTCATCGGCCTAGAACAAGGGTTCATGTTCAGCGACTTTACAAAGGTATGATTGGTTTTCATGTTTCTGTATCTAATTCCTTTGGATTTGACCTGCATAAAATAATAGGCTTGTAAAAATAACAAACTCAATGATTGGTTTGAACGGTTGTATTGAAGACCAAGAATAAAAAAAGAATCGAATCGTAATATCCTGCAACTATGGCATCTGAAAGTTATCAGTTATCAATATTATTAATACAATGGTTAATTTTCGCATAGTTTAAATTCGCTATAGCTAAACCTATTCGCGATATCTTAAGTATCGCGAAATTTTAAATTTTGTATGTTAGTTGTACCTGATTCTGATATCTTTTATTCACAAAGACAGAGAAAACAAACTGCGCAAAAATATCTGAATTTTTAGTGTTAAAGCAGTCTGTACGTATCTGAGAACTTTATCTTTTCCTTTAATGTATGATAACAAAAGGAAAAAGTTTTTGATGAGAGCGATTATCTTACCCCTGAAATACCAAGAAATAGTAAAATTCTTCAAGCTTTTGAAAATTATGTTAATATTTTGATATAACGAAAAGACTGTGATAATATGAGTAGAAATTTCACTGTCTTAAGTGATAAACCGGCAAAGTTCAACTAACATTGCCATTTTAGTTATCCTTTAAAGCAATGGCTTACTAACCTTACCCTTAAAAGATACTTTACCCTTGTAAACATATTATTATAAGACATCTTGTAGCAAAATGTCTTTTGGGTTTTAGATATCTTGTAGCAAAATGTCTTTTTGGTTTAAGATATCTTGTAGCAAAATGTCTTTTTAGTTTTAGATATCTTGTAGCAAAATGTCTTTTTGGTTTTAGATATCTTGTAGCAAAATGTCTTTTTGGTTTTAGATATCTTGTAGCAAAATGTCTTTTTGGTTTAGATGTCTTGTAGCAAAATGTCTTTTGGGTTTTAGATATCTTGTAGCAAAATGTCTTTTTGGTTTAGATGTCTTGTAGCAAAATGTCTTTTTGGTTTTAGATATCTTGTAGCAAAATGTCTTTTTGGTTTTAGATATCTTGTAGCAAAATGTCTTTTTGGTTTTAGATGTCTTGTAGCAAAATGTCTTTTTGGTTTTAGATATCTTGTAGCAAAATGTCTTTTTGGTTTTAGATATCTTGTAGCAAAATGTCTTTTTGGTTTAGATGTCTTGTAGCAAAATGTCTTTTGGGTTTTAGATATCTTGTAGCAAAATGTCTTTTTGGTTTAGATGTCTTGTAGCAAAATGTCTTTTTGGTTTTAGATATCTTGTAGCAAAATGTTCAACTAACATTGCCATTTTACTTATCCTTTAAAGCAATGGCTTACTAACCTTACCCTTAAAAGATACTTTACGCTTGTAAACATATTATTATAAGACATCTTGTAGCAAAATGTCTTTTGGGTTTTATATATCTTGTAGCAAAATGTCTTTTTGGTTTAAGATATCTTGTAGCAAAATGTCTTTTTAGTTTTTGATATCTTGTAGCAAAATGTCTTTTTGGTTTTAGATATCTTGTAGCAAAATGTCTTTTTGGTTTTAGATATCTTGTAGCAAAATGTCTTTTTGGTTTTAGATGTCTTGTAGCAAAATGTCTTTTTGGTTTTAGATGTCTTGTAGCAAAATGTCTTTTTGGTTTTAGATATCTTGTAGCAAAATGTCTTTTTGGTTTTAGATATCTTGTAGCAAAATGTCTTTTTGGTTTAGATGTCTTGTTGCAAAATGTCTTTTTGGCTAAAGCATTGACTCATAACTAAATGTTAATAAAAATATATCTATAAACCCCTATTGTGGCAGTTTATGCAGTTTTACGTTCAATTCAAGCATTTTGAAACCATAAAGCAAATATCAAAGACGCAATTGGAAACTACAAAATTGATATCTAACTTACAAATGTCTGGTAAACATCTTTCAAATAGATATACGTGTATTATACTTTTTGACTTTCGCTTTAAACTAGCAAAAAGTAGAATAAGCCTACTTTCTCTTTTGCATTGAATGGAATCATTGAGATATTCAGGCAGTTAATTGCAAACGGGATCGCATACATTTTTAACCATGTTTTCCGAAGATAAATCAGGTTATTAATTTGGTGAAGTACGGCAGGCGGACGACGGGAGGACGGGCAGCTGCCAACAGTTTCCGTAAAATATTTTATGAGCCGTTCACTCACAGCTAATGCTTTTCAAATTTTGATATGTTGATACTGATGACAAAATGGAAGTCAAATTTTCACTTTTACCGTCCAGGAGTTATGGTCCTTGGACTATTGGAAAATGGCACTTAATGTCGTTTCCGTGCAATAACTTATAAACCACTCAACCAATGTATTTTAAAATTTTGATAAATTGTTATGATTATTGATGATTTTCACTTTTGCCGTCCAGGAGTTATCATGATAATGGTCTTTAGATTGGAAAATGGCAATTTATGTTATTTTATGTCATTTCCGTGCAAGTACTTCATATGAACCGTTCATCCAAGGCTTTTATTTTAATATGGTGTTACTGATGACAAAATGGTGGTAAAATTCGATTTGACGTTTTTCATTTTTATCATTCAGGAGTTATAGTTCGTGATAGACTGGAAATATGAATAAATATAGTAGTTCAAATATGTCTGAAAGTGCCTTTCAAAATACAAAATAGATAACCGGGTTTGCTGTCAATTTGACAGCTCATTCCTTGTCCTTTAATTTTAATGAACTTATTGAGATTTTCAGGCAGAATAAGACAAAGGGAATTACATAAGGACACGGTTAATGTTGTGCGTTTTTGTATGTTAAAATGTCGTCTGCAGGTACCCCGCTTCTTTTTTTAACTCACGATGACGATAAAAAGATACATATGGAGTTCTAAACGGGTAAGGAATGTCGATCTTCGTAAGACTGTTATAAATTAATAGTATTTGAATAACGGAACTTTAAAAGCAGAAAAAAATGAAAGGTCCGTGTTTTTGTTTTTGAGATATATAATCAATCGAAAATTTGGCGGGAAATGATTCTCTCAAGATTGTTCATACATTGAACATTGGCACCTTTTTTCTTTCAAAAACTATGAAAAACATAACAAGACTTTTATAAAATTTTCTCAAAAATGGATTTTTTATGTATATGTTATAAAACTATAAGAAGAAACGTAGGGTTTAGCAGACAAACATTAAAATTTTATTGCCACTACATGGATAAAACTAGAGGATTCCGAATATCTGACAAAAAGTCGAAAACAAGAGTGACGAACATCATTGAATTATAGGATAATGTACAATATACTTTAATAGTTATATCGTCGGAAATAATCAAATGCATGTGTTCTCTCTTGGAAGCAGACGATCCCGAGAACAGCACGACGAGCCTAGCATGTCATCTCGATTTTTAAGCTCAATGACATACATACAAATTCAAAAATTTCTGACTATGTACATGCATCTATTAACCGTGTTAACATAATTGTATGTGCGTGTTACACTTACAAATGTTTATATTTCAATGATTCCATGATTTAGGCAGATGTTTAACACCTAATGAAATCACTAATTTCAAATGAAAATAATTATGTAATTATACAAGAGCTTTTAACATAAATGCAATGCTGGATTCTCTTTTCCGTGATCTCAAATTTGCAGTTTAATGCCGTATCCAGTTTTGAAAAAAGGTTCTTACATTTTCAAATAAATTATGTCTAAAAATGAAATGGTCACTGAACTTTTGGAGAAAACAATAAATAGGTACTGCAGTGAAACTGATGTCGATCGATAATTCTTTACAGAACAACAGCCGATTAAATAGCGCAAACATTGTTTACACATAGAATAATATCACACAGTTAGACAAATATACCATTAGTGCATGTAAACATATTTCATTTATTAAATTCAAGTTAAATAATATACACAATTTGGCATAAACATAAATTACTACAATTGAATAATTAATAGGATGCGGAAACAGCTGTTAACTTATTACATGTTAATCCGTTTCCTAATGTTTCATAATAAGCCATTGTTTTACGTAGATTGTCTTAAAAGTATGAAATATACTTTTTAAATACATAATTTAAAGCATGAAATAGCTCCCAAAAATGGATAAATATAAAAGAATGTTCCCGAATAACGTCAGCTGCATGGCTACTTGTATTCAGTTCAAATCAAAACTATATACATGTCATGATTGATAAAACGGAATGGGGGAAATGACATTAAATAATAAACATAGAAAATAGAAACGCCCAGAGTCCCCAATAAAAGAAAAGTATATCAGTGTCATCGGGCATAGGTCAAGCTTTAATTTAAGCTACCCTGAATAAAGGAGGTTGTGCCTCCATGTCCGAATCTAGACATGTCAATCTAGACATTCATTTGTCATTTCGGGGCCTTTTATAGCTGAGTATGCGGTATGGGTTTTGCTCATTGTTGAAGACTGTACGGTGGCCAATAGCTGTTAACTTCTTTGTTATTTGGTCTCTGGTGAAGAGTTGTCTCATTGGAAATTATACCACATGCAGCTTCTTATTTTCATAATTCAATTATGAACGAACAAATACTAGATACAACAACCGATTTTCCATCAATTGATTGGCATGGAAGGATAATATAAACATTAATGTAAAATCGAAAGTGAAAAAAAATATACATAAATCAAGAATTTAATGATTCATTACATTTGATAATATAGCAATGACATTAACAGGTGTGTGTATTGAATGTAATTAACCGATTTTTTGCGGTCAGTGTTATATTGATTTTATTAGATCACATTTTCATGTTTTGCATTATATTCAATTATCAAACTGATATTTTTTCAAGGCTGTTTTCTTTGCTCGGTGATTTTTATGAATCTCAATGCAGAAGTTAATTAGTACTAAACTTTTGGTTCCTGCATTTTTAAATTAAATTTCATAAAATAATTATAGCAACGCCCTCGGGTAAAGATGCATGACTTATTTTAGGATTTTAAATAAGTTAGTTTTAGATGTCCTAATTAGTATATTAAGCGCATCTATTTTATACTTTTCTGGCTTTTAATTTAT